TTTGTAAACAGTAACTGTTTCCTACTCCTCCTCCTCCTCCTCCTCCTCCTCCTCCTCCCCCCTTATCTATCGAGGAGATATCCCGCACTCTGATTCCTCCTCCAACGGGCAGAAGGCGCACGGCTCCCAGGAGAGGAGAGGACTGACAAACAAGCAGGACACGATGCGTGGACCCCCGTGTCTCGGGACAGCCGTGGGATTCCTGGCGCTGCTGAACGCGCTGCTGTTTGCCACGCAGGCTGCAGAGGGGGTCTTAACGGACCATCTTGTGGTGCAGCTGCACGAGGACGCACAGGACGAGGCGCACCAAGTTGCAACACAACATGGGCGCCAGGCACGAAAGGTAGGAATGCTCTGATGACAAAAAAAAAATATATATATATATAATAAAATAATAAAAAAAAAACCTGTCAGGCTGCCCTTGTAGTTAATGCTTAATTTGGCTCTTGGTTAGTGAAGTCGTGAATAAACAATTACTGATCTGAAGTCAATAATTATATCTGATTTAGGACATTTTAATTCTCTTACCTTAAGATTAGTGTTCAGAATCACATGAGGTAAGATTACATTCAAATTTGTTTTATTCCCTTTTTTCCTACTTCATTCTACTTTCTGTCCAGTTGATGACATCATGTCCACTAAAAATACAGGCCCTGGGTTTGTGGGTTCTCCACTGGCCTGTAAGTCAAATTAGATTTTCAGGTTCCATGCCCTTCAAAATGGAAGAGACTCCTGTGAAGCCAAACAGATCAAACATTACAGCTGCTGGCTTACTCACAACACAGAATGTGATCTTTATTGCCTTGTTACCGTTCTWTAGCTCCAGGTTCTAAATTTCATCAAACTATAATCTGATCCCCCCCCCATCCCCCCCACACACACCTCATATGATCTGTTTGAAAAGAAGTGCTTGCTCGTTTCAAACAACACTGTTTCCCTCCGTTTCTGACACAAAAGAGWACACAGTGTATCATAGCAATCTCACCTGAGAGGAGTAAATCTCATCAGATGGGCTGAAATGAAAAAAAAAATGCAAGCCATCGCACATAAAAGACCATAACCAGGCATTTACAGCAGACAAACAGAAATAATTACCTGACAGTGTGTGTTCCTTGTCACATGTCAAAATAAGTGGGCGGGTGAAATTGGCTGAAGCCTCAGCCAGTGAGGCGTAGCAGTAAACATCCTCTGAATGAGGATTTTCTGTCCTTCCTTTTTGAAAAATTTCATCTTTTAATAAACACTGTTTCCACTTGCAGCTGACTGGTGTAGTCTTCTGTGCAAGATCACCAGCTCTGTGATGTTGTAGGTGCTCAGACATCTCCTGCTTCCCAGGTTATGTAATCTGTGGTTATATTTGTCTTAAAGGCACAAAGT